TTTATTTTGATAAATAACTTTCCATTCTTGATTTTTAAACCAAATTATGCAATAAATAAATAATTAATATCTAAAGATATCGCACAGATTTCTTTTGAGTAACTAAAATGTTCCGGCAAAGTATTTCCACAAAATTTTCAAAATGGTTTCTCAAGACGCGAGTTCCAGGTTTACTATGGAAATTTAATATTGTCGTGTAAAGTGGTTTCGTATAGCATCGAAATTAAGTGTTGCACTGTGTTATCAGTGGTTAAGGGTTCCAGTCCAGAGCACTCAAAATAGATCTAAATGTGACAAATTATTCTGGGATTAAGGAAAATAGAAGCATATAATTTATTTGTGTGTATTAAAATATTTTATATCGACATTTTAATACAAAATGACGGCTCTGGGTCAATCTTCGCGATCACCTTCATCAGAGGTTCTCAACGGACGATTCTGATTCTAGTAACTCGTGACAGCTGATACAAACAAAAACGTGAATCTTAATCTACATAAGACGGGCTATTCAAGTATAGACGTTTTTTAACTTCACATAAATTATACACGAAATGGCGCACTTGTAAACAAATAATTATTTTTTTTGACAAAAATGAGCAGTAAATAGTTTATAAAAAACTTGCAAAAACAACAACAAAAAATGTACATAATTTCCGATATAATATTACTGTAAAACTATAATTGAAATTTCTTAGAATACCTAGTCCGTTTTACAAGGTTTAGCTGACTGACCTGAAAGCTTTGACACTACAACGTATTAGAATATGTCACTTTCCACCAATTGAATAATATTTTTAGTACTCCAAACTTTAAATCAAACAAGAAAAAATCGGTGTTTTGATAATCATAAACTTGCACAACCCAATAATCTTAAATTGTTAGGCATTTTAAAAAATTTTTATAAAAATTTAAATTTAAAATTTTTTATATTATATTTTAATACAATCACCTTAATTTTTAGATGAAGAGTACGCGTTTAAAAATTTACAACATCATTAAGGGTAGAAGAACTTGTACAACATCTCGATTTAATTAATGAAACTTAAAAGCTTATTCTACATGCTCATCCTACTGTAATAATTGGAGACACTTTGAAAGCGCAACTTATGTGCGTATTAGTTATTTTGCGTGGAGACCTCACAAATCGCTTGTCACTAATTGCGATTTCAACTTGGTATAGCACCGCCAAGAACCGCGTTTCTCCTCCCCCATTTCCTTCCATTGCATTTCTATGCTTATATGTATGTATGTTAACAGAATTTCTAGCACTTGCTGCCGCTTCAGCGTCAACATCGTGGCTGCCACATGACATTTTCGTAATTAGTCAAGCGTATTGCATGCATTTGCTGCACGGTTGCATTAATGTGATTTGCGATGGCGCGATTGTCACGCCCCGCATATGTTGCTGATGGTGTTGCTGATGTGGTTGGTCGCCATGCATTCGCGCATTGCCACTTTGGAACGTTGCTGAGCATTGCAAGTTGTTGATGACTATCGCTATTATTGCTGGCCTATGCTTGGAGTGCGTATCCATACCATACCATACCATAGTTATTGCTACGAAATCTACACTTGTTTGTTGTTGTTCGCAATCGGCTAATATTTAATACAAACCATATTTGTTATTCTAATTACATATACTAGACAGGCTGAAAATCAAATATAAAATTGTATTATTTTATTATTCAACAAAATTATCTTTGAGCGTAATACACCGATCATAGCGATCTTACAACTTTTAGATATTATTTCTATAGTTGAAAGCGGTCTCAATCATGGTAATTGTCTTTTCGTTGTCGGTGTTTTACTTTCAAAAAGAGCATTTTTTTGAAGTCTGAGAACAACAAGAAGAAGGCACTAAAGACCGCATTCGGAGAACACAGTGCTTGCGTAAGCAATTAGATGTCCGATTTCTATATTTTTGTCATCCTTTTCATTGATTTGTGTTTGATCTCACTAGCAACAAGATCAATTTACTTCCATATCAGATTGGTTTGGGTGCCTGGTCATAGCGGAATCGCTGAAAACTGCAAAGCTGAAGAACGCACAACAAAGGGCATCTTAACCACAATCTAATCATACTGGAACCTTGTGTAAGCTCAGTAAGCGTTGGTTAGCAACCAGCTCCTGTGCGACAGCGAAATTATTCTGGTTCAAAAAGGAACCAAAGAGCTCCTTTCAATTATGTTACTTGCCCTTAGCAAGGTTTATCTCACCGCAATGATAGGCGTAATAACTGGATGCTGTTCTATAGGTACTTACAGGATAGGCCGAAATATTTTGTAGGCCGCAAATTGTATGTGCTGTATGAAGGAAGGTGAGGTAGAAACATCTAGATACCTTTCTTCCACTGTTCAAATTAAACTAACTAAATAAGGTTAAAGCAACTCGATAGGCATACCTTCTACGAACCAGGCAAATTGGCTGGAGTTGATATTAACAAATTTGTGACAGGCTCAAGGCGCTTTGTCGATATGTGACGGTTTTTTGATCACAAAGAACCGGTGTTTCTAGCTGACCATGTAAGATCATTAATGACTTTACCTATACCAATCTGATGGCCTAATGTGAAATTTGATTGATAATAAAACCTTTACCTTTATAAATTTGCATATATTGTATATTTATGCTATTTCTTAGGGACAAACACAAACATATTGAAAATAAGACAGTTCTACTCAATTATGTTTGAAATAATCAAGATTTTGCTAAAGGATTTTATAAGGAGATAAAATACGGATTGAAACTTGCAACTGTACTCAATTGCCACTGCCATACTGTTGTAATGAACAGGCATGACTGTTATCAATACAACCGACTACTTCAGGTGTATCAAATTCTTCCAATAAGTACCCTTACCATGCAATTGCAATTCAATCCTCCAACAATATAATCCCCGCTCTGAAACCTCAAACGAATATACAGTAGTCAATAAAAGTATTAAAATAGTACATCAGCTACTTAAAACGGATTCGAATTATTCATGAAAAGCCCACTTCTAATCCTTTGTAACGTAAAACCATAATTTTGCAATACTCTCACGGCAGCACTCATGTTCGATACTGCCAATTATTGTAAGATATTGTAAGCAACCGTTAGGTGAACAAAACATTACACTATCGTAAAAAATATTGGAGCAATATAGACATTTGTTGCCTACCTTCTTTTTCTAGCACTTGCAACGCTACAACACACAACATCATAAATTAGATAAGAATTCGCTTCTGTAAAAAAACTGACAATAAATTTTGTGGAAAACATTTATGATTTGGTGAATGAACGCATGGTACAAACATTTTTCTTCGTCAACTGAGGTGTAAAATGATGCATTGCGCTGTAGATTGGAAGTATATGGCGCTTGTATTATGATATGTATATATGTAGGTATATATACTCGTGTATACGAACACATGTGTACATATGTATGTGTATAAGAATATTCAAGTGTCAAGCTACACTTTTGAAATCGAAGCACGAATTAACGGGCAGGTGGGCAAAAACTTCATTGGTTGGTGTTTCCAATGCATCCACAAAACAACGGTTGTATGCCAAGCGATTGCAATAAAACGAAACTTCAGCAATTTATGACCTCTGATGGTAGAAAAATATAAAACCTGCAAGAAAACAAGTAGGGATGAGTTGAGTTCGGTTGTAACAGAACATTTTACACTCTCGTTATTTGTAAAGATCAAAGGCGGGGAAATACTGACAAAAACGTTAATGAATTAAAATCGTATTTGCTATCTTTTTTATTAAAATCAACTTAATTATCAATTTAAATCAGGTATACTACATACGTGATAAAAACTTAAGCAAACAGGCTAAACTATAAATATAAAGTTTATGAGAAAAAAGTCAGTTAGAGGATCGAAAATCATTAACTTAGAAATATGTGATTTAGACTGAGATCTACATCGATTTCATTCATCCATTGGTCATAAAGCTTAGAAAAGCTTTATAGGGTAGCTACGAGAAGCACGTAAACATGGATCCCTGCCCACAAAAATATTTAGTACAACAAGATCGCTGATCATCTGGTAAGCGAACGGCAACCACCCGTCCTGAAGCCCGTTTTCACAGTGGATCCACACACTACTAAAAAAATAAGTTCGAAAAGAAGAAAAGATGAAAAAGAAACGTTACTGGCCTTCATGCCAAGCAAGTTTTTTCGGGGAAGATACAATCTAAAAGTGTTCTGACAGGTATTTAGCCTTCATAGAGACAAACAGCTTATAGCGTTATATAATGGCGCCTACAGTCGCAATTCTGTGTGCCATTCGCGAGATGCAAATCTGGTCGATGGAATAATGTCGGTTCGGCGACTTCACAGCGGAAACACCGGAGCTTGGTTGCTCTACAAGGAGAAGGTTCCAAGTTATCGGAAATATGTATAGCTATTAGATTTGGTCTCCTTAATGCTTTTGTATGGTATGAGTTGATGTGTTGATCTAAAAGGAAAGCGCAAATTTAATCTATCTAATAGATGTGAATTATTCAAAAAATTCGAATTATATATAAACATGGACACTAAGTTAGCTTTGATGTTATTACATTTAAGTCCAGAACACGTAGCGCAGTAGAAGACAGAAAACTGGTTGAAAAATATTCTGTCATTATAACCCAATGCGATTCTTAAAACTAGCTTGACGGTGACGAAACGGTTATTAAAGACGAGTTACGTGCCCTAAAAATAATTAGTAGTTAAAAGAGTAATGAAACGAAGCAGAAAATGTCACAAACACTGACATCATCAAAATACAAGAGAGGAAGAGGCTAGACCTCTCTTGTATTGAATTCAACTGTATGACTTTGTTATTGCTTCCACCTGTAAATTTATTAACAAAATAGCAGAGCTCAACTTTAGCAAGAAAAAAAGAGTTTGTGAATCGATTGCATGCCATTCGGAGGCAGCTCAAAACTGGAAAATGAAAATTTTGCTTAATTTGTAGGTTGTGAATTCATACTAACCTTAATCTCTTTAAATAATGAAGTATGTGCAGTTTTTTTTTTAATATTTTAATATTTGACGTGGTTTTATTGTTTCTTTGATGATGACTTAATTGAATCTTAAAGTTTATTTGTAATTTTATTACATTTGTGGTTTACACTTTAAAATATACAACAACGCTGCTTCTGCTTACAATTTGACATTTGGATTATACATACATACAATTTATTCTTTATTTATTATTCACTTTGATAAAATTTTTAATTAGTTTAGTTAATAAAATAAATAATTCTTCTTTTGTTTATTGCAAACGCTCTTTACCATTACGATAATTACTTTAATTATTTTATTATAATTTCATGCAGTACAAATATTAGCATGCTTTATTTTATACATATGTACACCTCATATGCATACATATTTATGTACATAACACACGTAGATTAATTTACATCACTAGCACTTTACGCGTCTTATGACTTGCGTCTCTTACATTTACAAAAAATTTCCCCGGAAGTGAGGAATTATCAATCTGAGGACATTCAATGTCGAAATTGACTGAAGATATTAAGAATATATGTAGTATTCATTCAGCAAACCCTGGCCACTTATTTCAAATGCGTTCTGTAGACATCGCGCGCTCTACCACTAACAGCCTCCTACTATGGATGGGAGGAACCCATTCGTGACGGTCCGTAGAGAGAATAGGGCGCAAAGTATTGTGCTAGCGCTGGATGTGGTGGCATTGAGAGACCACTCAAAGCGCCGGCCGCAGATGACAGCGGTGGCGGCAGCATGGAGGGTTTGCCGTAGGGATGATAGCGTGCGGCAGACAGGGGACTCAATGGTGGCGTAGGGTAGGTGCGCTGAAATAATGGATGCGTTGGTGGTATACCGCCTGCTGCAGCAGCGCTCAGCACTGAATCTGGCAGCGATGCGGTATGTGTACGCAAATGTTGGAACAATTCATCGGAGGTGCCGAAACGCTTGCCACAGTACGCCGCGTCCGCGCTGATCCAGGAGCAGACGTACGGCATTTGTGAGGCGGCGGCCAGCGCAGCCAGTTGTGCATGATATGATGAAGCTGCCGCTGCGGCGACTGCAGCTGCAGCCGAAGAACCGCCACCGCCCAACGACGCCGCTTTGACGGAGTTGCTTTCACATTGTGGACAACCAGCCGGACATGGTTGGCCGGCGGCTTTGTTGAGAAAATGTGGCGAGGATGGACAGCCGGTACAGTAGGGATCGCGACATATATTCGGTGTCATTAAAACGGCCGGATCGATGCCCTTCAGGCGAGCATAATTCAAGTATGGATGCATTGCAGCCGCCTTAAACATTGGATGATGTTGTGACATAAGCGCACTAGCCGTCATTACGTCCATCGGATATGACAAGCCACTCGACGGATTGCCACTCGGATAGCCAGCATAGTAAGCGGTATTGCCTGGTAGCGAACCCGCGCTCGTTGTAGGGACACCTGCAGCCGCGGCTGCAGCATGCAACGCCTTCACATAGTTCGCCTCTTTGGCTGCAGCTATAGCTGAATCCGTAGCAGACTGCAGACGTGATTGGCTGGCAGCAGCTGCCGCAGCCGCAGCGCTAGGACTCATTTGTGCGCTGCTAATGCCATGACTTAACGCTGCCGATTCTTTAGAGGATGCTCGTTGCTGTGGACTACTACTATTACTGATGCGTTGCTGCAGATCCATAACTGCGCTAGCGGTACCTATTGGTGAACTCTTCCGCAAACCATTGATCGCTGGCGAGTCTCGTTGTGAGGTGGCACTTTGGTTTGAGTCACAACGTTGTTGTTGCAGTTGTGCAGCATGCTGCTGGCCATTCAATAACATTATGCCACCGCTGCCATTACTCTTTGGTGTACGCACTCGGCCGCCATTGCCGATGAGATTTAAACTGTTTGTCGACGCACTGGTGCTTAAGTTTGTGGCGCGCTCCGTTTCGGCTTCAAGTCTCTCTCGCATGTGATTGTTGTTGATTAAATTATTATTCGACTCATACGGCTTAAAGCTGGACTTGATGTGTTCGACGGAGCCGGTTGATACGGACGATGATTGACTGCTCACTGGTGAGGATTTATCGCGTCCATCAGCACCGCTTGACTTCAATGTCGATTTGGTAGATTTCTCAATGTTGGCAGCAAGCAGTTTTGGATTGGTTGTATCCGCACCGATTGCGCTGCACGTCTGCGCCAGCAAAGCTAGCGGACTGCTTTTGGCGTCCAGCTGTATAGAAAGAGGAAGAGAGAGAGAGAAAATAATCACAAATTAATAAATGTAATTATAATTTTATTGGATTCATATTCTGTGTTTGACTAATATAAGATCTGTGGGTGTACTGGAAGAGGTCAAAGTGACTCCAATCGGATTTTTATAGAATCAGGTAACTATTATGCTAGCTTAACAAATTAATTCAAACCAAAGCTTTAAAAAGAATTAGCATATAGTTGGGTATTGTTGAAGGAACAGCTTAAAATATTTCTCAAATATTTTTTTGGAAATGCTGGGATACCATAATTGCTTTTAAGTCCAACTTCGGTTAAGTAGACCCGACTGGCATTTCTGCGATACAACTAAGTGTCTTATTAATCACTGGATCTGCGAGGAAAAATATATGCTACAGTGTGGCCAGAAATATTCGAAATTATGTAGAATATTACAGGTCTTTATGGCGTAACCAAGAACCATGCAGCCCAGATGCATGTTATTTGAGAAATATTTTCAATGTTTCAAAATGTTTTCAAAGCACAAAAATATTTGAAATCCCCAAACGAGTTTAAGCAATAATTGGCCCAGGGTGGGAAAAGTTAAGTTAAGATTTCGCCATAAGCAAGTTGCAAGTGACGTAAAAATTAACGACATAAATTCTAAAGATAAACTATATAAAAACGGAAGTAAATCGAGTGCTGTAAGACGTCAACACACTTACACATACACAAGCATATCCACTGAAATATTTATGGGTAAGACATCGTTACCGCGCCAGACTGTAAAAACGATCAAAAGGGGGAACATTTTAATGCGTAATGCATGCGTTTTCGCATCAGATAAGCAAAGAAGCAATAAAGCCGGAAAGTAAATGTCGGAAACTCACTTGTTGTTATGTATGTATGTGTGAGCATGATTGTACTAACAGCATATAAAAACCACATAAAAATTGCACATTGTGGTTTGTTTAAAGACGGCAACAAAAATGCCATAAAATAAACATGCGAGTACATATACAGGGTGACCGATTTGAATTGAGTGATTTCAAAATTACATTACTAGTTAATCCCAAATAAGAGTAGAACAATAAAATCGGCTAAGACAACTTCAAAATCTCGAGCAAGTGCTCAACTTCATTTGATTTGCTTTTGTTGTAAAGTGTGGTACTTGGAGGAACAAAACAAAATTTTCGAGATGATCAATATTTTGACCCTAATGTATCGTATTACGATCATATGGCTCACTGGCATCCATTTTTTCTATACAGGCGGTCTTATTTCTTTAACCACTCGCCTTATGTTGGTTTCCAACTAAACTGTCATAACTTACTTATCAGCAGAATTATTAAATTCACCTACTATCGCCATAAGAAGTCTAACGGAGTGGAACCACATGATTCAACAGGCGCCTTTACTGATATTATTCGTGCTTTCACGAGTGCTAGAAGATTCATATTGACGTAGGAAACCGAAATGTTTGGAAAAATTTCCAACAAGATGGCCGATAGCGCTGACAAAAGCAATTATCTGCTCTCCCTGAGTTAGGTTTTGCAATATGTGCAGGAATACGTGTTTTTATAAATAGACAATGTTGACCTGACCAAACTATAAGTAAGTGATTTTAATGTTTCGCCAACTATTCAGTTCTAACATAGATGTGCCCATACAGTTTTAGAGGTAACGACAACTAACTATACCTAAAAACATATTTTTTCGTTTCGAATACACAAAATTATATTGTCTTTACTTTTATGGTAATTATAATATAAATATGTATGTATATTACAATAATATGAATACTTGTTACTTATTATACCTTGAAGAGTGTATATTAAGTTCTTGTATGGAAAACTTTTTTATTTGGCAAGTGTTCAAGGCAGCGTTATAATCTCCTGAAATTGTTCAAATCGGACCACTAAAACATATAGTTTTAACTCAAACTGAACAATCGAAATCAAGATAAACAACTTCATAAAATCATTTTTTTCTTAGTAAATAAACTTAATTCGACTTGGACGTTGTTTTTATCAAAGTAGCTAGAAAGAACTAACAAAAGATTTTCCATCGGATGCAGTCAGTTGGCCAATTATGTTTTCACATTTAGTTACACATCGAGTTGTTATAAGAAATGCACCTGATAAGAGTATTATAGCTTCGGTTCCGACTTTGAAAACACCATACATATAGCATAGCTGACCCCGAGCACACAACTTTTCTATGCTGTAACTTCAAAATTATTACTCGGATCAACTTGAGAATTTAGAAAAATATTTTAGAGATATTATAGCATTTAATAAGACAATAAAGAATGTTTTTTTTTTGAAGCCGCGAAACCCATGTAATCCCTTAAAGCAATGTATGCAGTAGCTTATTGTGTGATTCGGTAGGAATGTGTTGTACATTTATATCATTTAAGTATTCTCCAGACATTGTATTTCCTTATATTGTATATGTAAGTACTAACAATAGTTCCTTTTTGTACCGAGATGGATATCATATATGGTATTTAAAGTGAGTAGATTCTATTTAACCAGTCAGCATCTTAAGTGACAGAACGTGACTTTGCTAATCGACATATTTGTATCCTGAAAACGTGGCAAATAAAATATAAACAAAGGAATATGCGTGCTCGTGAAGTCAAATAGGAGAACTGGATGACAGGACGTACGTACCTTCAATTCAAGTCATTTAGCTAAATGAGAATTGCAATACAACAAATCGTTGCGCAATGAAAAACACACAAGATGACTACAAAAAGTAAAGAGCCTGCTTAATATAAGAATCCGTACGAGTGTGAGGTAAAAGTGAACAGAGTAAGTGAACTCAGTAAGTAATAAGTCAACATAATGTTTATGACTTTAACGTTTTCGGCGAATGCTTTTTATGTCCGTAACTACACACTAATATACAAACTAAACACTAGCGCTTAAAAGAATGGGTTCAAATATTTTATGAACTTCACAAGACGATTTTTGACTCAATGTTTGAATTTTTATAGGTTTTTATTCAATATATTAGAAGACAAAACGGTATTTTTTACATTGTGGCTTAACATTTTACCGTTTTTCTCAAATTTGTTTAAAATTTCAGTTTTTATCAAGTAAGCGGTGCCAATAGTGTTCTATTTGGATTTACAAGAATCTGTCGTTATTCTTTTATGACGTCAGTTTCGGAATTAAATTGAGTAATTGTGGAAGCGGCACGCTTAAGATTTTCAAAAAATCACAAAATTTATCATTTATTGGAACTTATGTAAGCTTCACTTTTTGTCAAGACGAATGAATGGAATTCCTTATAAATTTGTGATTCTTAAGGGGGTATTCTGGTTTAGAAGCCCGAATTTTTGGCTAATTTTCGGACCCGATAAAAAAAATATTTTTGCTATAAATTTTTTATGTGTTTTATTGATATTTACAAAGTACAAATCATTTATAATATTAAAAAAAAAAGTTCCAGGCCGGCAGAGTGGGGACTGAAGAAAAAGTGGCGCGTTCTGGTGTGCAGAATATCAGAACTCCCAGTAACTTGAAATGTAAATTGTTGAGTGATCCTTAAAGAGGAAGATGTAGTTATAGCACTACGAGAGGATTTTGGAGAAACTTTTTTTTCACAAAATGGCGGCTTTTTAAAAAATATGTTTCGTTATTTCCCTGTTTTTTTCCGTTCGGAAGATTTAAATATTAAAAAAAAAATGTGTAATATATAGAAAAGCTCATAGCTATACAATTTCAAGTAAATCGATGGATTAGAATTTGAGAAAGTATTATAGTTCAGAAAAAACGAATTTAAAGCTCGCGTCGATCAGCGAGTTGATTTTGTCGGCGCAGTATACAATGAGCTGTAACTCCAAAAATAATTGAAATTTCAAAAAATCTTTTAGGGACATATTCTCAAAGGGTTATACTACAAAACTATGCAAAAAAAAAAATCGATTTGTTTAAATTTCTTAACCCCTAGAATATCGCTTTAAGGCAATATTCGAAAAATAGCAGACCATTGTCCAAAACGAATTTTTCAAAGAAGAATTGTATTTCGATCGATCAGTTTGTATGTTAAATTAAATTCGCCTATATACAGACAGACAGACGGACTTGGTTAAATCGACTGAGCTCGTCAGGTTGATCATACATGGTAAATTTTAGAGGGTCCCTGAAGTTACTTTCTGGAGGTTAAAAACTTCGTGGCACTTAACATACCATGTTCAGGTATCAAAAAGAGTGAAAGGGTGAGTAACCTCCGCACAAACGTTTTTTAATGCCCTCGATATAGGAATGTTCGCTCATTACGGCTGTCCGAAATACTAGTTACTAATTAAATCACAATTAATATATTTTTATGTTCACAATAGCGAGAGCAATAGAATACACCCTTATATTCGTTTTTTTTCTGTAACTACTCTATTGTTGCACCTATCCTGTTGAAGCGCAGCGTATGGTATGTATCGACAGAGTGTAATGAGAAGCTGTCGCTGCTACTCCTTGCAATTACCGCAATGTGCTGCTCATTGCTCTTATATAATTGCTTACCGTCATCGTCATGCGGTTTACGCAATATTCATTGTCATCTCCGAAAGCTGGTTGTCTTTGTTGTTTCTGTTACGCCTGTGAGATGCGATAAGAATTTATGATTTTGTTAATGTCTTTTTAGTTTCCTTTTTCGCTCCTTTTCGCTTTGGCGATTTTGAATTTCTTGCTTTGTTCACATTTGGTTTTTATTTATATGCTTTATTTATTTATGGTTCGCGTTTTTTGCTTGCGCATTTTTAATGTACCACATTTGTTTGCACATTTGTGCATACTTAGGGATGTGGCATGCAATCTGCAGCAAGCCAGCAGCCACAAAGATAAGATATTTACGAGTGTTCATTGCGTTTCATAAGCTTTCGCGTTGGCAAATCTCATTTGCTGCATATAATTCTTCTTTAATGTCTTTGGTGTTGCAAATTTTGTTTTGTTTTTGCTTTTGCATTTTTATTGCCAACAATTGCTAGAGGCGTAGAATCGCGCGTCTGCCACATTA